ATTCGCATATAAGATACTCCGACAAGTATCTTACATGTACTCACCTCATTCATACACATATAAGGTACTCCGACAAGTATCTTACATGTACTCACCTCACTCACACACATATAAGGTACTCCCGCAAGTATCTTATATGCACTTTTTCATAATACACCTTTTTTTGAGAGTCACAATTTCATTCATTGCATTTTATACGTTTTTTTCAGTGTCACGATTATTCTTATACACCAATAAGATATATTCGTGATACCTCTTTTTTTTTTGCATTTCCATTTGCACCCTTGCATATGTTAATTGCAGAAAAAGCATTTACATTCATTTCATATTTACATATACATATCTACACACACATATATACATACACATATATACACACGAGTGTTCAGGAGAGGTAGCCCCTCTTCATCCTTGGCCGGCCTTTGGATATATTATTGGGGAAAAATGGATATAAGGAAACAGAGAAAAGACGTTAAATCTACATTACTAGAGAGGATTACGAGAGCATTCGGACATTGCAAAGTTCGGAATTTACACAACAATTCTAGCATCATGTGTAGCGATATTTCCATATGTGTTCCTTCTTGCGCTAGTGAAATCGATATTTCACGAGAATCAAGTAATTGGTATGAGGAGATATTTAGGAACCCCCTTAATATCTTCTACATAACAAGTACTGCGACTCGTAAAATTAAGATTATCGTCCCTGCGATACGTGAATTGGCATCTAGTAGTGCAAAAGAGGACCCAAAAGTCATTTTCGTATCGTATAAGATGGAACATTGTGAAAATAGGAGTGAAAACTCTGTATTGCACACATTATCTAGTATTTTTTATTTTCTTTTCATATTTTTTTCTAACATTTTTAATATGGAGAGAATTAAAAAGTTGTTTTTCGCGCTTGTCAATATGCTGAATATCTGGAAATTTGTTAAAAAGTTGTGGAAAGGTGCAAACAGGAATGACTTAAGAAATAGCACAGCACAAAATGAAAGAGAAGCTGATATAAAAGCCGCGGCCCAAGCGGAAACAGGAGTTGTGTTGGAAAAATATGGTCTCAAAGTGGTAGAGTATTCAGAAAATTCAACAACGTGTGAGTCGGATTGGATAGAAAATTATCCAGAGAATACCTTTACA